GTGCGGTTAACCTTGATTAACCGTTTAATTTCGCAATCTTAGCTTTTTCGCAACTCTTTCGATACATTTTTGGTTAAGAAAAAATGATATTAACATACTGTGAATCTTAAATTCACATGTGAGCGTAAATTTATAAGAGAAATACGATGAAATTAACGAGTGCATTGAACATGAATTGACTCTTAACATGTCACGCAAACTCGTCACAATAGCCATTCGAGTATGAAGGGTCATCTCCGCCAATATCCTGTTTCAAATTCTGTTCTGAAAAACCTGTTTGCTACTGCTTTTTATCAAATTCTTTTCAGAATAGAAATTGGCGATGTCTCTATTTCTATTCTATTTTTCCGACGAACCGAGTGGAACCTGAGTAAGAGCCAGTTAAACATTATAATTTATTCTCCCGATTCCCGCTCAAAGAAAATTTATTCTTACCTGATGACCAGTCCGTTTACTGACCGTAAATTAACTATATAATATAGAGAATCCGCCGACAGTTACAAAATTTTGTAATTCGTTTTATTTTTTCTAAAGGACCCTTTTAATGAACCTTTTTAGAAAATTATATCAAAAAGTTCTATGCACCTTTTTTTCTCCGAAAAAGCGAAAAGTTCGAAATCCGCCTAAATGGCCGTTGTCCTCCCCGTAAAGCAATGAAAAATGATACAACTTTGGCAACTTCGTACGCTACAACGCGATGCAAACCAGCTTTTAAATTTTGTGTTCTAGCAGATGGTCCTTTTATCTCTTAGGAAATATTAATTCCTGGTTATTTTGTTACGTTCAAGTCTGAATAGTAACCCGTTGAAATAAAGTACGTTGAACGGCTGTCACGCAAGAGGTTATGTATTTGGTACATTCCTGGCCAAGTTGACAGATTGGCTTTGACCTCTTGCGTGACAGCCGTTCAACCTACTTTATTTCAACGGGTCACTATTTATGTTTCGCCAATTTCCATTGTGTTTCGCCAATTTCTATTGTGTTTCGCCAATTTCTATTCTGTCTCGCCAATTTCTATTCTGTTTCACCAATTTCTATCTGTTTCGCCAATTCTATTCTGTTCCGCCAGTTTCTATTCTGTTTCGCCAATTTCTATTCTGTTTCACCAATTTCTATTCTGTTTCGCCAATTTCTATTCTGTTTCGCCAATTTCTATTCTGTTTCGCCAATTTCTATTGTGTTTCGCCAATTTCTATTATGTTTCGCCAATTTCTATTGTGTTTCGCCAATATCTATTGTGTTTCGCCAATTTCTATTCTGTTTCGCCAATTTCTTTTCTGTTTCACCAATTTCTATTCTGTTTCGCCAATTTCTATTCTGGAAAGAATTTGATAAAAAGCAATAGCATACAGGTTTTTTAGAACAGAATTTGAAACTGGATATTGGCGGAGATGACCCCTCATATTCGAGTCTGTACCATCTTCCTTACGTAAATTGGTGACGTTTGTTTAAAGGAGTCGTTCTTGGTTGACCTGCTTTTACTATTTGTGGCCCATGACAAGGTTTTGTTCTTTTCATCCCGTTTAAAATCCCATGAAAGATGGATCACGAAAGGCTATCATAGAGCTTTATTTTACTATTTTAACTATTTAGTATATGTGCTATCTCCTTAAGTGTATTTAACTTTCACCCATCCGTAACTGCTCTGTGGTAGTGGCCAACTCGAAAGCTTGGCTCCTTTGGCTACTACGCACTCTTTCCACTGCTTTGTGTAAATTCATGTATAGTTGGAACTCTCTTCTTTTTTTTCTCCTTTTTCTCTTTCTCGTTGTTGTATTTTTAGTAGAATAGGCGTAAATAAAGAATGAACGAATGAATGAATGGGAAGGTTTCTTTTAAAGCTTCTATATCACTTGCTTCTGTATTAAAATGTAGTCAGCATAATCATTTACATAGCATTGTCACATCAACTCAAGCCTGCATGTCTGATCACTTCAGTACAGAATTGACCATTATTTTCAAGGGAGGGGGAAGGGGGAGGAAAGGAAATCCTAAAAGAATTAGTTTTTGCAAAAGCAAAAAAAGCCTAGACCAATTGTTTGGAAAACTTTCCACCCCACCCCTACCCCTTCCCAAAAGTTATGTTCTGTCTGTCCCTGAGTTTCGAGACTGTAACAACACATAGCAAACATACTAGTTCAGAACACATAACACATAACAAACATACAGTTCAGAAGGGTTACCACATATAATTAATTCACAATCTTTTAAAATTGATCGATTGATTGATTGATCGATCGATCGAGCAATCAATGTCTTGACGCATTAGATGGGATTAGTGGTTGGCCCGGGGTAGGGGTCCCAGGGTCTGTGGAAGGGTTATCAGCAAGTTTCAGTGAGTGAATATTCACAAAAAAGAAGAAATTGGGAGCCGCTCTTTTGGNCCACGATTTGATTTTATGTGTGTGTGTGTGTGTGTGTGTGTGTGTGTGTGTGTTTGTCAGTCCTTATTGCTTTTGTACAATTCGCACAAGTGGACAGGTTTGGTCAGAGATTTTCCCCCGAAAAAACATATTGCTAAAAGTTTTTTGCGCCTAACAGTTCGACTGTAACGCCACAAGATAACTATATAATCGATCCTAATAAACGTGTATGAGGTTATAACAAAAAATGACTCAGCGACTATAACACTACGCGAATTTGAAGCTTTCACAGTGGACGATCTTTTTGTTCCATAACAGGATAAAGTTACGACCACGAATGCTACGAAATGTTTCTGAACAAGACCTCTCTGTTACGGTTCTGGGTCACAAGCTGAGCATGCCAATTTGTGTGGCACCTACTGGTTATCAAGCGATGGCGCATCCAGACGGGGAACTGGCCACTGTCAGAGGTAAACTAATAATGTCAATTTACCCTGATGAATCTAATTTGATTGAGGAGTGTTTGTTTAGCCAATTAATCAAAGCTCTTTCGTGAATAATGATTAAGACCAAGCCTGTATTAAAGGAATAGAATTACAGGCTCATACCAAAGACTAAAAAAAATTCTTAAGGTCTAATTCTCGTTGTTTTTTGTTGAGGTTGTTTAGTGTACAATAGACAAATACATTGGAAACGAATCTTGTATATTAAAAAGTGTTAAACTTATCTCGAGATAAAGACGTGAAGAGCAGTGAGAGTTATTTGTTTCTATCGCATTCGATCCTATGGTAAGGATCATTATATTTTTAATATTTTGAACATGTTATGATCACCTACCTGAAAATGTTCCCTCTGTTTCAGCGGTGAAGTCACAAGATACAGCCATGGGAGTAAGCATATTCACCACCACTAGTCTCGAGGATATTGCGCAGGAGTGTCCACACACGATCAAATTTATGCAAGTACAGTTTTTCAGTGATCGGCATTTAATGGCACAAGCGGTAAAACGGGCTGAAAAAGCAGGCTACAAAGCAATTTTATTGACAGTTGATACCCCAGTGTACAGTAGACGTAAATCCACTGGCAGGCGGAATTTTCGGGTTCCGAATCATCTGAAGTGTGCTAATTTTCAATCTTTACAGCAGGAGAAAGGGCTAAGAACTAACGAGGAGGTTGATGACTTTATAAGCACTATATGCGACGGCAGTGTCGACTGGGGAACATTTGATTGGCTGCGTTCGACTACGTCACTTCCGTTTGTTCTCAAAGGAATACTGACTTCAGAAGATGCTCGTCTCGCGGTGCAACATGGAGCTCAAGGGATTATGGTATCTAATCATGGAGGACGACATTTGGATGGTGTCTCTGCCACAGTACTTCGATTGAAAAATGAAATTTCAAGAGTTATATCTCTCCCATCGTCTTAAAGTAATTATTTAAAATTTTGATTTTTCTGATAGATTGACGTGTTACCTGAAATAGTGGAAGCCGTACGTGGAACTGGGGTCGAAGTTTACTTGGACGGTGGCGTGAGACTAGGCACTGATGTTCTGAAGGCCCTTGCTTTAGGGGCTCGAGCGGTGTTTGTTGGCAGGCCAGTTATCTGAGGACTGGTATATAAGGTACAATACAAGTGTTAATTATTTTGCTAACTCTTTATATCTGTGCCTTAGCTCCCCTTAAGTTGTTATGCAGTTTGTTTCTTGAAGTCGTAAATATCTCAGTCGAAATAGAAATGCTATCATGGACTTTGGGGCATAATCGCTTTTCGGTGGCGTTGCCTCTACTTTTTTTTCCTTTTAGTTCTTATTGACTGCTTGAAGCTAACCTCCCTTTGATTGGGCTTTGTTGTTACTTTGGACACCCTTTTGATATCCGCTCTAAATACAATGAAACGTTGAAATAATCGTTTGCCGGAGCGGAAAAATACCGCAGAGGTAGGATTAAACAATGGAGGGAAAAGGATTGTGAAGGAAGGCAAAGATTGCAACGGATTTCAAATAAACAACTGAAAAATTTTGGCTTGGAAGGGCATATCTTCTCTGTTTCATGGGATAGGAGGAAATTGTAGAATGTCGAGCAACCACGCTAGTCTTCAAAAGTAAGCACTTTTTTCGCTTTTCCAGGGAGAGCAGGGTGTTACTAAAGTCCTTCAGATGCTAAGAGATGATTTTAGAGTGGCCATGGCTCTGGCAGGTGTGACACCAGTTCTATTTTTCATTATCGTATAAGGAAATTAAGTCAAGCAAGAGATTAAAAAACAGGTTATATTCCCTTGATTCAAGTCACTGATGTCGCGCTATTTTATTCATGTTGTCTCAGGTTGTGCGTCTCTCAAGGACATTATCCCAGCCTTGGTAACGAAACGAGCAAGTCATCTGTGAACGGATTAGCTTGAGGAATTCGATCATTTGAAAATCCACCACCGCATTTGTTACAACGCAAACATTATGAACTGCTTCTCTTAGTTAGTCAAAACTTTCTTACTAATCATCTTAACACGACGAAATAGTAACGAATGACATCATTTGAAATAAAAAAAGAGTAATAGTACAAAGCAGCGCAATTATACGTAAAGAATAAAACGAAAACAACGCGTTAAGAGCATAATGCAACGCAATCAGAGCACATCACCTGATACCCGATTAATATTTTCGTTCAAGAAACATCAACCGTTTAGATAGATATGAGATAGATAGATAGAGAGATAGATAGTTTATTTGTAAAAAGCTTGCAGCCACTGAGCTGAATTGAGTATTTACAATAAAGTATAAAATATAACTTATAATAGTAAATATGATAGTATTAAAGTCTTAAATCAATAATATCCCATAAATATGATGAAAGCTTGAACTGTTAAAATATATACAACGGCATCGATCTCGTTTACAAAACTCACCGAGCACTAAAATTCGTTAATACATGATCTTAGCAAAAAACTATTTTTGAAACGCTTGGTCCTACATTTGGGAATCGCAAAACGCCTTTTGCACCGGAGATTATAACACGACGGCCCTGACGATTGAAGCATTTTATGTGAGCGATGGGCCGGGTCATTAGCAATCGAGAGGAAGTTCTTTTTACATAAGTCAGCGATGTAGTCATTGATAGACATAATATTTGAAAGCTCTAAGGCCTCTTTGTAGGCCAGGCCCGGGCAAATGATTGACAATGCCCGTTTCTCTACATTCTCTAGATATTTCTTTGAATACAATGGTAGGGCGTAGAAAAAACGCAGGCGATGCATAGGTCTGGACTGACCTTATACAAGACGTATAAATAAGAATTAATTCCTGCCTTGCGACTTTGGCCCTTTTCAATTGTATTAGGAAATACATACGTTTAGAAGCTTTCTTTATGGTTTGATCAATGTGCTTATTCCATGTAAGGTTGTTGGAGATCGTAACACCTAGTAATTTGGCGCTTTCGACACATTCTAGCTGTTGGTTATTTACTACTATAGGCGCGAGTTGTGGTTTGTTCTTTGCAAATGAAATCCTAAGCTCTTTACATTTTTCACTGTTCAGTTTTACTCTATTTTCAGATGACCACTGCACGACAGTATCTGCAATTAATTGGGAATTGCTACTGGCTCCTTTCACAACGATCTCGGAGGTAGTTGTATCATCAACATACTTCCAGATATTGCCTGCATTATTAATTTCTAGATCATTGATAAGGATCAAAAACAACCACGGGCCTAGTTTCGTCCCCTGGGGTACCCCGAATGGCACTGATCCCCACTCGGAGTAACATCCCTCTGAGAGTTTGATTCTCTGGGAACGATCACTTAGAAAATCTATGATCCAATTGATTATTTCTATCGGCAGATCTTTTTTTATATTTTATATTTGCAATATCCTCGGATCACCGCCTCAGCCATTCAACAAAAGGTATGCAAAGTGTACGTGTGTCTACTGCCTTTTTTTTTTCGCTGCATGTTACATACATACATACTTTATTTAAGGTATCAAGGAATAAACAACACAAACAATACCCTAAAAAGGAAGTCTAAGAGGTTAATTCTATCTAAATAAACTTCCAAAGAAATAAAATTTAAAAATGTATGCTTATGATAAAATCTAAGATGGATAAAAACCTAAGAAATACGCACGTATAATTTCAGTAAGAGCTGTTTTGAAACGTGTTAAGTTACCTATCTCAACGACATTGGCGGGCAGGTCATTCCATTCATGAATGATTTTGACAAAAAAAAGAGTATAACAATTACATTTTGCCAATTTAACTTGCAGTTTGTAATTGTGGTTGGACCTAGTACGTTTTGAAGCAAATTAAAAAAAATCACAAAACTGAAGGTCATTGAACCCGAATACAAGTTTATAGCACTCTACCAAGGAAAAATATTGCCTTCTATCAGTCAACTTCGACCAATGTAACATTTCACAACGATCTTCATATGACATATCACCCCTTCACTGACCTAAAGCCAATCGAGAGGCTCTTCTCTGAACTTTCTCCAAGAGAACAATATTTTAACTAGATAAGGGCACCATAATGGGGAAGCGTACTCCAGGATTGGTCTCACAAGAGCCTTGTACAAATTGAAAAAGATTTCCTTGTTTACAGAACTGGTTGTTCGCTTGATTAGACAAGAACTTTATTGGCCTTATTGACAACCTCAACAACGTGTTGAGTCCACGAGAGGTCATGCGAGGTTGTAGTGCCAAGGTCTTTTACAGAACTCTTTGAGCTTAGACATTCTCCGTGCTTTCCTGTTGCTTTTATGTGGGGGAAACTGCAACAAGAAATCCATGTTTTGCGTTGATTTACTTTTTCTTCAAATAAATCATTGAATAAATATCTTATCTGTAGTATTGAAGTTTTCGGCAAGAGTGGAAATATACTTCTTATATAATGAAACATTGAGAAACTATGCAACTGAACTAAACATTACATTTTTGTTGGAAGTAAAGAATATTTTATTTACAGTAACATCAACAGAAAGTTAACATCTTATGTGAAGTTGGTATCTTTGAGATCTAGAAGAGCTTCACTGATTTTGTCTGACTTGGCAGCCTTAGTTAAGTTCTTCTTGCTTAAAAATGCTTACGGTCTGTAAAAGCTGTAAACCAAAGCTCCTGTTCATCCAGGTCGGCACAGAGTCTTGCAGTAATATTCTTCGTTGCATTCTTTACTTTCTGTGAAGCACCACATTGTGGACACTGCACAATGTTTTTACCTGACATATGTAGCATTTTTTTGTTGCATGTTTTTACTTGGCAGATAATGTACATGTTTAGCTTATCAACGAATTCAAATTCACTCACAGAGATGGTTTTGTCTGCATTGGCCAGAAGTTCTGGACCCTTGATTTTTACAAGGGGAACTGTTGCATCACACTCTTTGAATAAAGTGGTGGGAGTTGTGCCTAACAATGTGTTACCCGAATAATTTTTGATGCTAACATTTTTAACATGATAGCTTTTGCCATTTTTGAGTGTTTTTATGAGGTCATCCCGTATCTGTATAGTTAAAGTTCCTTTGCCATCTTCAATCACACAGACCTCCTTGACATGTCCAATTTCTCCGTTTCTTTTCTTCTTTCGGTGGCAACTCTCCAAGTGTTAATACACCTTTTAAATTCACTCGGTTTCTAGTTAAAAGTTTGATTTGGTCTACTGTTTTATCTGATGCTTGATCATTTGTATGGAACGTCAAGCGTGACAAATGTTGAAAACTAAAATATAGGTTGTATCACTAAATATATGTTGTACTGTGTAATAAATGGGTTGAATATTGCTTACATATAGCTTACGTTGAGACAAATACAGGTTATAAAGTTCAACATATATGTGTCACTTGAAAGTACAGCCTCTTACATATAGGTTGAAAATATCGATTTTCTGGGCTTTTCCGAAAATCTTCGGAACGAGACCGACGCGCGCGTCACGAGCCTATTTCGCGTTGTAAAGGCGACGCCATAATGGACGCTGCCTACATTGGCGATTTTTTCGACAGAATTCCTGGCATTATCTCACAGGCCCGTCGATATCTTCACGACACTCAGCAAGAAGTAATCGAACGTATTCACAGGAGACTGGGGGACAGTCTTTTTTTAGTGAACCATCTCGCAAGTGGGGCGTGTAATTCATCAAGTGCGATCGATGCGGACAGACAAGGTGATTTGTATTCTATTATGGCTGCATAAAAGAGAAAGAGTTGGTTGATACACTGTTCAAGTAAATAATTAAAATCGCGTTTTTCATTGCTTCCTTCTTTATTACCTCAAATTGGGGGATTGGCATACCATCACTAGGTAGAGCAATTTAATATTTATCCCTTGGAGATCTGGCAACACACTTATTCGTAAACAACTCGCTTGGCCATTCACATGGCAACAAAGTATTTCAAATTTTCTAATTTTAGGAAAAAATTAGCTTTGTATCAAGTAATAGACCATCAATTTGTTCGACAATGATCGAAAAGACAATGGACGAATATTCTCTTTCATAAAGTTCTCAGTTTTACGCTGGAATGAGCTACAACAGATTCGAACTAATACACAGTAGTCCAAACTGAACTGATAAACATTCCCTTTACACTTTATTTGAGATTGACTATGGGATTTTTAATGAATTTTGAAACTGAAAAGGATTAAAACAAACAACGCAGCTGTTACAAAACTATCGTTTCCGCCTTCACGATTGAAGTCATGCTTGTTGTTACGATATCTCGAGTCCTCTTCTCATTCTGTTTCATATTTCAACGTTAACATACAAGGCAACCGTAACGCAACTGTCATCTCCGTCTTCCGGTCACAAAGTAACGCTTGCTGCAATATATCATTCATGAGTCCTTACTCTTGATCCTGTTTCAAATGTCAACAATAAAAACCTCGAACAGTTAGCTTGTGATCGCTTTTCTAAGGGGAACTGCCCTTCAGTGTTAAAATACAATTTTTTTGTAATTCTCTTATCATGGTGGCTCAAGTTAGAAATTTAGCAGCATATTACAAACATCAGACATTAATAATTATGAAACAATTGCTTGATCCTTTTCTGAAAATATACTTTGACTTGTTATCCTTCAATTCGGTTCGTAAGCCGTTCCACAATTGTGATCCTCTAAACGTTTTCGAGAATTTACCATAATTCGTTCTTTTATAGTGTATGTCTTGGCAAATATTAAAGGTGTTGTTTGAATAAGACAGGTTGTCTTTTTTTGGTCAGCGGCTTACTCTGCGCTCCGGAAGCCACCATGTGCCTCCCCGTAAGCGCTCAAAAATTACCCTTCTACTGTTCTCGGAGAACTGACGACAGTTTGCCAATTTCCATAGTAGTGGCTCCGGATATTAACCACGATTCTGACGATTGCAGTGTATATATGCGCGTTAAAGTTTTCCTTTGATTTGTTAGTTATCGTTATTCAATACTCGTAAGTACAGCAAAGATCGAGTATACAGTACACAGCACCATAGGACTGCTGGGCTGAAATCTGCTGAAGTATCGCTTTAAACAGCTTTACAAGAGTGATCCTGGTGAAACAAAATAACAAAAGTAGCTACCATTGGAGAGAGAAGTAACTTCATCTTTATCAACAAAGCAGATTCGAAGTTAAGTTACGCAGTGTTATGATAAGATCAGATCACGTTTATGATTTTGGATTTCCATAGATGAGACAAAAAATTTGATTATCGATTTCAATCGATTAATTTGACTAATCCATCGACAAATATCGAGTACTTTCGAGTATTATCGAGTAATCGATTACATTTTCGATTATCCATTTCTATCGATTAGTTACGCCCTGAACAACCTCATTTTGAGCCCAACTTCCCAAGGACTGGATAAGATTTTTAGAGAAAAATAAATTGTGCTTACTTAACCATGATAAATTGGACAATAAGCCAAATTTCAAAGTTCTGCCCAAGCTGGAGAAAGCACAATGTAGACCTTACTCAGGAAAGGTTGACATGTAGCTGGCGATCAGCATCGTTGTGAATTGCTTGAATGGAGAGCTCATTTTAGTACTCGGATCTTGTAACCGTGATCGATCAGGCTGACTTTGAGACCAACGTGGGTTGATTTGTGACAAAAGTGCGTCGATTTGTGACCAAACTGGGTCGACTTTTGCAAACACGTACAATATGCAAAGATTTCGATTTTGACACTTTTTCCAAACGCTGGAAACTGCATAAACCATCATTGGTGCCGCACGAAGGAAGGTCATTTTGCAACGATTTCCAAAAACAAGTAAAACAAGTATCAATCCAGAATGTCTAAGAGTTGTTCCTCCAGCTTTAGGGCAGAAGTTTAAAGAACAATATTTACCAGAAAACTATGCACTCTGCACTGAACACAATCCTGGGGGCATAATGGAGCTTGTCGAAAACACACACGGACTGATAAGTACTCGAACTTGCAGAAGACACATGCAATGGATCTTGTCGAAAACACGCACGGACTGATGAATACTCAAGCTTGCAGAAGAGACAATGGACCTTGTCAAAAACGCGCACGGACTGATGAATACCCGAGCTTGCAGAAAAAACATTGGACTTTGTCGAAAACACACACAGACTAAACAACATTCGCTCGACCTTGTTGGAAACACGAGATTGTAGAACCCTAACCTCTAACGAACCTCTAACGCACGTGAGTCCTTCATGCGATTTCACTTGTGATTGCTCGAAATTAAACGCGTGACCGACTCCTTGGCAACACAGACGGGTCGCTCGTTGCGATTTCACATGTGATTGGTCGGATCTTCTCAGCATCACGGATCACTTATTAGCGATATGAATATCGACAAGTTACGCTGTTACGTGTCCCCCTCTATAAATAAAGTCCTTACTAAGTTAACAAACTTTTTTCCCGTCTCAGCGTATGCGCACTAGACACAAAAACCGTCTCATTTTTAGCCTAAACTTAGTTGCCACGAAGCCGCCAGCGAAAAACAACAATTTCGTATCGTGTGCAACTTCAGTTCGGCTTTGGCAAAAAATAGAATTGAGCATAAGAACTATCCAAAAGTTGAGCCGAGTTTCAAAGCTAAGTTTACGGTATACTTTCTAAGTTTTGCCTTTTTACGCTGTCGAATAGACTCATGGCGAAAACGTTATAAAAGTTATCGGCATTTTATGGTTTTGTTAAGGTGTCTGCTGACCAGTAAAATACTGTCTTACCGTCTAACGTACGTGTTTCCGCGGTGTCAGGAATAAGACTGTGCAGCCATTTTGCTCGTACTGCGGGATCCGATACCCGATGAATTCAGTAGAAGGGCTCTCGTTCGTTTCACGCCTTACCGGCTCCAGATACTCCCTAAATGAAAAAGTCGCCTAACTGTATTTTTATCGCAAACTACATTTATTAAGCTTTCTTTTGATGTCTAGTTTGTTAACTAGTGAGCGTACGAATTTTTTACCCGAATGACGCCCGCGAAGGTGGGAAGTTAGCTTAATTAACGAGCACTTACAAGCGAACTCTGGGACACTTTGAACTACTTACAGATCATTTCAGGTTAGACTGAAGATGGCTAATGGAGAGCCTGTCACAATGGATGATTTTGAGGCATACGCTGCAAGACATCTAGACCAAAACGCTCTTGGTTACTATTCTACGGGAGCAGATGAGGATGTGACTCTGTTCGAAAATCGAGAAGCCTTTAAAAGGTAAATAATGCTTTTGTCCAAGCTTAATACTTTGTAAATTACGAGGGACGGAAATCTATGGCGTGTGATCCCCTTCAAAATTAATCTTTAAATTCCATTGTCATTTCATTTGCGAACTTCAAATTGTTGTCGACAAATTCGGTTTTGTGCTCCAAATTGTGACGTGCAAATTCGGTGTTAATCTTTAAATTCCATTTTCATTTCATATGCGAGCTTCGAATTGTTGTCCACAAATTCGGTTTCGTGCTCTAAATTGTGACGTACAAATTCGGTGCTCAATTCCAATTCTGTTATCAAATTCTGAACGCTTGTCTTTTGTCATTTACCTTGCAAACTTCAAATTGTTGTCTACAAATTCGGTTTTGTGCACTCAACTCTGACGAACAAATTCTGTCTGCATGCAAATACTGTGATCTATAAATTCGCTGTTGCAAATCCCGTTCCCTATACGAGACACCTATACGAGACACGAGGGAACGGGATTTGCAACACCGAATTTATAGATCACAATATTTGCATGCAGACAGAATTTGTTCGTCACAGTTGAGTGCACAAAACCGAATTTGTAGACAACAATTTGAAGTTTGCAAGGTAAATGACAAAAGACAAGCGTTCAGAATTTGATAACAGAATTGGAATTGAGCACCGAATTTGTACGTCACAATTTAGAGCACAGAACCGAATTTGTGGACAACAATTTGTAGTTCGCATATGAAATGAAAATGGAATTTAAAGATTAACACCGAATTTGCACGTCACGATTTGGAGCACAAAACCGAATTTGTGGACAACCATTTGAAGTTCGCATATGAAATGAAAATGGAATTTAAAGATTAACACCGAATTTGCACGTCACGATTTGATGCACAATTCCACCGGCTATGTTCTAAAACAATTGGTTCATGCTTTCAGCTGTGCACTATCGAGTTATGGAGCACGTGGGAAGTTTGGAGAGCACTCAAGAAGCTAGAGTTGCCCTCGGCTATCGCCTCGGGCAACTCTTACGCTTCTTTCGTGCTCTCCAAACTTCCCGCGTGCTCCATAACTCGATAGTGCACGCTAAAGCATGAACCAATTGTTAATTGTCAACTCAGTTGTTGAAACCAAATTATCGTAAAATCGAAGTAATCCTAGTAAGGCAGCTTAAAATTGCTTCGTGCTCCCATACAGCTAGTTGGAGAAAGGCTAGCCCGAAAGTTATTGTGGGTAGTTTTTAGGCCACGGTTCCCCAACCTCAGGAATTTCGGAAAATCTGACAAAACCTCTCTGTAATAAGGCATAGTAGGTTTGATGAATTAATTTGATTATTTGACTTGTTAAAATCAACAGAGAATATTTTGAGTCTTTTGTTAAAATTTATCGATATTACCTTTCGAGGTTGTAGCGTGCACTTTTGTCCTTTTACCTCGAACCGTTGTATTACCTCACTACACTCTCAGCATTTTCTTTAAATAGAAGCGTGAGCTGCGAGGCTACTGGACTCAGGAACGTCACTTTATCAATTATCAATAAAATTAACAGCTGGTCTACTAAAAGATTCATTATGCTCCTTTACAGGATAAAATTACGACCGCGAATGCTGCGAGACGTATCTCAACAGGACGTTTCTGTTACGATTCTCGGTCACCAGCTTAGCATGCCAATTTGTGTGTCACCTACTGCTTATCAAGCAATGGCGCATCCAGACGGGGAACTAGCCACAGTGAGAGGTAAACTAATGGTTTTTACACTGAATTCCTTCTAATGAGACCAAATTGGGTTTTGCTAACCTAAGACAAACTGTAAAATTATCAATTACATCGATTACGGAGAAGGCTACATCCGCGAACGTGTTTTGAAATCCTGCAAGTTTGGCGTGGTACATCATAGTTGGGTGCATGGGAAGATAAAAAAAATTGTAAATATTTTATCCTTAAGACAACTCAGATTGCCAGGTGCCTGCAGAAAAAAAGGTAAAGATTTTCAAACTACCTCAAAACGCGATGAAAATACGTCCTTGGAAATAGGGAAAGGCGTGTGGAGAACTTCTTCACACACGCTTACTCTTTCACGCACGCGCTTTACTCTTCTCTAACCCGAGCGCTTTCCATGTGGGCTTGTAAGGCTTGATTTCAAGTTTCCGGTCATAGGGCAGTTTGAATTTTCATAAGCTTGTATTCATGTGTTCGATCCGTTACACGGCTCATATAAGGACCACCACACGCTTTGCACCTGTTTACGAAGTGAAATAATTTGTTATACTACATCTCTCTTTCAGCGGTTCAGTCTGTAGCTACAGCAATGGGTTTAAGCTTATACTCCACAAACAGTCTTGAGGACGTTGCGCGGGAGTGTCCGAACACGATCAAATTCATGCAGTTGCAGTTTTACAGTGATCGGCAATTTATGGAGCAGGTGGTAAAACGAGCTGAAAAAGCAGGCTACAAAGCAATTTTTTTAACAGTCGATATTCCGGTCTATGGAAGACATAAAGCCAGGCGCAATTTTCTTCTCCCGAAATATCTGAAGTATGCTAATTTCAAATCATTACAAACGGAGAAAAGACTTCGAACTAACGAGGAGATTGATAATTATATAATCTCAGCATCTGATGCCAGTGTCGATTGGAACACATTTGACTGGCTTCGTTCGATTTCGTCACTTCCGTTTGTTCTCAAGGGAATACTGACTCCAGAAGATGCTCGTCTCGCGGTACAACATGGGGCTCAAGGAATTATGGTGTCGAATCATGGAGGACGGCAATTAGATGGTGTCCCGGCCACTGTACGTTGATAGTTGATGTAGAATTTCCGAAAGTTAGCTTCATTGCTGTCTCGGAGTTGTGATTATAAAAACATTTCATTTGTTCTCAGATTGAGGTGTTACCTGGAATAGTGGAAGCCGTGCGAGGGACAGGAGTCGAAGTGTATATGGATGGTGGCGTGAGACTGGGCACTGATGTTCTAAAGGCCCTTGCTTTAGGGGCTCGAGTAGTGTTTGTTGGTAGGCCAGTTATCTGGGGACTCGCATATAAGGTACCATACTGGTATAAATTCTTTTCTCCAGATACACACATAATTTTTATCTCGAAATCCTTTGAACCAGGTGCTTTTGCCCCCAAAAGTTTTGTTTTGCTCAAGAGGGTTTTAATTTTTTAACGTTAGTTTGTTTCTTAAAGTCATAAGTTTTTCTCAACTTAAAAGAGATAGAAATGTTACTCGTGCACTTTGGACCAAAAAAAGAATGCCTATCATGGTGTAGCACAGTGTTTCAGTTGTGCAATGTTCTTCTGCCTAGATTTGCACCCACTCATTTACAGCACGATTATCCTTTTCTCTGAAGTCAAGTTATTAAGCATGATTTCTTTTTTCTCGAAGCGTTGCATGAATATTTCCCTCTACCATTTTTGCATTCAGACTTTGTAAATCTATGGGTGAAATCTTGTTTGATAAACAAATCATCCCAATTCAAGAGGATTAGAGGTGATCTCATTTAAGGTAATCAACAGGCCCCTTAACTGTGCATTCTCTTGTTTTTTGTTTTCCTTTTCAGGGAGAGCAGGGTGTAAGAAAAATCCTTCAAATGCTTAGAGATGAACTTAAGGTGGCCATGGCTTTAGCAGGTAGTATTGTTGAACTTAGTACTCACAAAAGTCGACCAGACCAATTAAGTTAGGTTCATTTGCTACTTGAAGTCTAATCACAAATTTTTATTGAGTCAAGTTTTACAAAATCTCTCTCAAGGTGACCTTCTTCTGTTTCCGATTTGAAGGAAAATGGGCTGCTTGGGTAACAGCATTGACATTGTTATAACTTGAAAGACTAATTTTTACAATCATTTTGCTAATTAATGATTAACTCTCGAAGCTTCCTCCCTTACTCTGAAAAGCGTCGCAATAGTTTCTCGACCTTTAGATTCTCGGAGGTGAAAATCTAAAAAAGTGTTCATTGTATACCATTGGTTAGCACGCTTACCAATCTTAAACCCTTTTTCACTCAACCCCGCGAAGTCGCCTATTTCCCATACAATATTCGATTGGGCCGTCTTAGAAGGAAAAGAGCGTGACTTTTTTTTATTTTTTATCATTTTATTTTTATTATCATTACCGTTATTATTACCATTATTTTTAGCTCCTTCTTCGTCTGGATCGCTATCGTCACCATTATGATATCATCGTTACTAACCCCAAATTGCTAATATCTCTTATCATAGTGTAAAAAGTGGTTCGCTTGAAGCTATTAATTGTGATGTTTCTTTTGTTGTCTCAGGTTGTGCGTCTCTCAAGGACATTACCCCAGCTTTAGTGATGAGACATGCAAGTCATCTGTGAACGGCTTAGAATTCGTTGATATGCATAGAAATGGCAATTTCCCATCAGGGAAATCAGAGTAGCAGTGAAACGAATTACACTGAATGTAAACTGGGATATTTATGCATAGTGGAAAAAAAGTTTACACTTTATGTTCTCTTACAAGCCGGCATTCATAGAGGGAGTTTCGATTATCATATGAAAACAATCAGTCATTGCAACTTCGTCGGAAGAACAACGTGTAAGGGAGATCTTGAGTCAGCCGCAACACAGAAATCGTAAAAATCTATAACTTGAAATTCGCACTTTTTCCTCTTCTTAAAAACCCTCGGAAACCCTATAAGTGTCTGAAAAATAGTCACCAGCGCTGTATGTAGATGAAAAACACACGTTTGTACTGACCTGAGTAATGCAAATTTGGGGAATACGAAATGGAGATACCGCTTTAAGGTTGTAGTGCGGTCACTTAATAGTAAACAGTGGGCACAAAAACAGATTGAAAGAGTGCTTTTGTTGGATTTCTAATCAGAGCGGGCAAAGAAAATCAAAGAAAAGAATAATTAATCATCATCTAAAATCTCATAAAAAAAATCCTACTCGTTCCCATATATTCCTTACATTTCTTCAGGTTTACAGATTCCCTGAAAATACTTTAAAGAAATCTTTGGTACGGTGGCCCAGAAGGCTCAACGAAAACAAAAAATATACTGCAGCAAATAAAAAATATACTGCAGCAACTAAAAAATATACTGCAGCAAATAAAAAAATAAAAACGCAAAGAAAAAAAGTACTGCAGCAATTAAAAAATGCAACGCAACGAAAAAAATACTGCAGCAAATAAAATATGCAACGCAAAAAAAAAAAAAAAAAAGAAAACGCAAACAAAAAAAATTGGAACACAACGCCAAGGAAGACTGGGTAATAGTTCTTAGTTTCCTGCCAACACTCGTTCCATCCTTTGCTTGTTCACCTTTACGAAACCATGTTTTGCAGCGAACTTATGACAGTACCACGCTGCTCCTTAAAAAAATCGATAATAACTCTATTTTAATACCCTTGATGAAAGTAATCTTCTATAATCCTACGCAGATCGCTTTCGTCCATAGCCAAAAGCGAGTTCCAGTTCATGCTGTTTTGGCGGGAAACTAAGAACTATTACCCAGTCTTCCTTGGCGTTGCGTTCCAATTTTTTTTGTTTGCGTTTTCTTTTTTTTTTTT